CCGTATAAGTGGTGCCCTACTGTATTAGGTTTCATTCATGCACCACTAGTCATGCACTTGTACATCAGTGTTAATGACAAGTCCTGCATTTTGTATGTAAATGCTGAAGTCAACAAAGGGGTTCTTACCTGTCTGCTTGAGGCTCTTTGCATGAAGCATGCATAACTTTGGGCATTCAGAGACCATGCTATAACTCAGATTTCCGTAATGCTATTAACGTGTAAATGGAGAAATGTGTTCTTGAAGGTACAGTGGAGGTGCTTCAAGTGCTTTCAAAGGTTGCTTTATAGGAGATTGAATGTGATTGTGTTCAGAAATATTTTGAACTGTGTGAATGTTGGCAGAAGTGTGTATTTTTTGGCATTTAGTATTCTGAAACAACTTATAGGAAGAGCTTACTTGTGCCCTGAGATATGAGATAAGGCTTCTATTCTGAACTTTTAAAGCTTTAAAGCTATCATGTATAGTGAAAAATATTGAGTGGAGCTTTCTGATTACCTGGTAGTCACATGTCATTTTTATTGAATGTCCTCTTTATTGCAGGTTCAAGACATGGAGGAAGAGTCAAGTGAAGAAGAAGATGAATCCCCAGCTATGTCTGTACACAGTGGGAAGAAGGCTCCTCCTATGCCCATGCCAGCCCGTGAAGTGCATCAGCCACCTCCATTGCCTCCAACACCTGACAAGGTGGTGGTCAAGAAGGGTTATGATCCTAAACAAGGTTGGTCATTGCATGTTTTGTACTTTCTTCCCTTTCAGTGCTTAGGAAGTTTCATCCAAGGCTTAAATTTATATTTCTGGGTTTGGTCCTAGACCAAGACTGCCTGTTTTGGATAGTTTTTATTGTCCATATTCCTTTCTCTTGAATACTGAAATATACAGAGATAGAAAAGACATTGAACACAGTGCTCATAATTTTATTTCTTTAATAAAAATTCTAGTTACATTTAGTCCATAACAAGTGTAAAAAATTATGTAGGATTTGAGGTTTTCACGGCGGTGAGTCTGAAGATGGCTGTCTTTTGGGTTGTTGCACCATGTATTCTGGTAGAAGCTTACCGACGTTTCAGAGGTCCTTGCTCCAGACAGTTAAGAAACAGCTTAATCCTAACTGTGGGGACTGTTGTCAGAAACAGCGAGGATGTGTGAACCAATAGGAGTGTGTGGGCATGTCACAGCGTGTGTGAGAGAGAGATGGATCAAGGGAAGAAGAGAGAGGTCTGAGAAAGCGGCCCTTTGAAGGGCCCGTTGGAGTCCGGCCAGTGGATCACTGCACATACAGGAGATGGGTGGTCTTAATGCAGGGGAAACGGGAGATTGGAAGGGAGCACTGGCCAGGGCTGGGTGTGCCCTGAAAAAAGGGCAGGGTGGTGGTTAGTGGCCCAGGCAGGACTAGCAGTGATCAGTGGGATGCTTCTGGGGTCCTTGGAGAGTGTGAATGAGGTAAACTTCTAACAGACTATATAGCACAACAACCCAGAATACAGCCATCTTCAATAACAATTTACTTCTGTCTTTACTGAAAAGTGTGTGTGTGTGTTTGATGTGACATGGCAAAGAGTTGCTTTAGTAATGTTTTTTAATGCATATCTCATTCTTTTGTTTCAGTTCAACAACAATATGAGGGTTTTATGTACACTCTGTGGTGTATATTTAACAGAATACATCAAAACTTTTTTTTTTCCTTTTGCTGTGTGATGTGAATCAGTCTGAACCAAAATGAAGCAGCTTTCTGCATACATATCCCATTTTAAATTTTGTCCACATTCATGAAATGGATGCTACCTCCCAATTGACTGGTTTTCACGTTACATATTAAATACAGAACTTCTAATGATGCTGTAGAAAGGAGACATTTTTTGGGTCTGTCAGACACTACATACTGCTTTACCAATAATTTTGAATGGTTCTACTTGAGATACTGTTCAAAGAAAGCTAGAGGTGATGTGGAAATCTGTTATTTATTTTTTGATTTTAGCTGTAAAGGCAACACGTCCTCCCGCTCCTGATGAATTGCTTATTTCTCCACTTACTGGGGAGAAGATCCCAGCTACCAAAGTTCAGGAGCACATGAGAATTGGATTGTTAGATCCTCGTTGGGTTGAGCAGAGAGACCGCCAGATCCAAGACAAGATCAATCAGGAGACAGTTTACGCACCAGGTAGAGTGTTGCATTTTGTATGTCTGTCTGTGCAGATTTAGGTCTTGATAGAGCACTCACTAAAATGGCAGGCTGCGGGGTGGGATGACTTTGGTTTGATTTCCTAGATCAACTTTTGGACCTTCCCATCCTCCTCTCCAATTTGTATTGCGTTGTAGTTAGTGATTATGCAGTGGGTTCTTTGTTTAAAAACACAAGACAGATTTATTTCACACAATTAGAATTGACTCTTTCCTGGATTAATGTCTGTTGCCTCTCAGATTACAGTAATGGTTACCTGGATATAATTGTTCTCTTCTGTGTCATACTACGCTTCTGGTTTCCTGACACTCGTAATGCAGCAGTCAAGACTGACTCTACACCACACACTCATGTGTTTCTAGTGTGTTGTCAGAAGGCTCCATTATTCCTCACAATTTGTAGATTAGCTGAGGGACTTGCAGAAGCCAGCATACGTGGTATACCGATGTCACTGCAGGAGCAATTCAGTCTCAGTTCATAAGTCTGCCACGTATCTTACATGCTTTCACTGAGGCTTATGCTTGAAGCATATCACCCGTCTCCACCTAGTGCCAAGGTTAAAGCATCTTTGAATTGATTGACTCATTGTTGGGTGTATAGTCAAATTAACTACTCTAGTTATTCATACTGGATACTGGGGATACTGGGAACAACCCGTTCTTCAAGTGCCTGAGCACTGCGGGTCCCAAATTATCATTGGCTTGATCTGTAGACATTCGGTAGGACTCCTTGGACAAGGGATCAGTATATCAGGAAATTCAGATCAGAACTTAAACTAAACTCAGAAATTAATCTTGATAGTGGAATTCCCTTCATACCATACAAAATGGTTACAGAGCCATTACTTAAACACCAGAGAGAGCATTGTCTGTGAAAACAGGAAATATTACATGACAATGTTGTCATGAAATTAGAAGAAGCTCTACTGTACACATCTTGTCCCTGATTTCCAAGAAGCTATTCTCTTGTATGTATGGTGCTGATGTGTGCAGGATAAAGGCTTTCAGTAAAAAAAAAAGGTTGTACTGAACCAGCAGATGATTATACATTTTTCCCTGGAAATGGGAATGCTGATCATCACTTAGGGACAGGTTTTTTTGTACATAGTGGAATCATATCAGCAATTGAAGTGGTAGAATTTTTTAGAGATAGAGTGTCGTATATAATACCAAGAGACAGTTGGTGTGATGTTTTTCTGAATGCATTCACCAGCTGAGGATAAGTGCAGTGATACAAAGGACAACTTTTATGAGGAACTAGAGCATGTATTTGATCAATTCCCAGAGTTGAATATGACAATTTTGTTGTGAGATTTCAGTGCAGAGGTGAGGAGGGGGGGGATATAGTCAGAGTCAGCTCCATGAACACCTCCTCCAAGATAAGGACAGTCTTCCTGGATGCCATTTGCAGAATGTGCACATAACTCTGCTTTCTCTTGGGCTGTCCTGTGACGCCAGACCTGGCAGATGCTCTGGTGTCAAGGCTTGTCCATTATCAGGCTGTCATTGGCCCTCGTGACTAAAAATCTTGATTTACCTCTCAGTTCTCCATTGTCAGTCTCTGCTGATGTTCTCAGTGTTCCCACACTGCCAGCATACTGATCATCTACTCCTGCATTACTTAGCTGGTGGGATTTGCATTCCTCTGGGGCTATAGTTACCTCTTGCAGCCTTGCTGGTTGTCTGGCTGCTGCTATTTCCATTTCCAGCTTAAGGGCCTAGTTGATGGCCCTTTTTGAGTGACCTGTTGTCATACATGAGAAGCTGCCACATCAGTTCTCGGTCTCACACTCCATCGCTCCATTGCAGCCTCCCCGTGGATGAAGTCTGCAGGTAATCGAATGTGGGCCTGATGTGTCGGCTGCTTGACATCTGCTGCGAACCCTTGGAATGATTTGCTGTGTAGGTGGATCCTGTCCTTTAGTTGACACTGGTGGTAGGCCGCTGCCATCTGGTGATGTCCATAACAGCTTTTAAGTCCCCAGCAATGTCATTGTATGCAGCTACAGTTGGGACAGTGTGTAGGATGTCAGCAGCTTGTCCTAGCAGTACAGTGAACAGATGTGTGGCCTTCCTGTGTGATATCCGCTCACTGACTATTGATGGCCCCGAACTTGTAGAATACTGCATGGGACACGGATCCATTGAACTTTGGTGGTGTGCTCTGTCTGCACTTTTCTCTGTGTTACCACCACCTTTGCATGTTCTGGCTTCCACTGCTGCCAGGTGTATTTTGAACTTGCAACATGTGGCTTTCAGGTCTTGTCAAGTTACTTTTGTGTCTATTCATGCCACTTCTATATGTTATCACAGCTCTTATAACTTTCTGCAATAAGCAGTGTATTTACTTTTTCAAAAGATTAATCCAATATCTTCCACACAGCTATGTATTTTTTCAATGATGTGCAACATTTTGACTATTGTATTCATCGTTGACACTAATAATTCAGGTTGTTTTACCAAGGAAATATGAGCCCATGTGTCTGTCAGTGTCCTATAGTATTTTTGCGTTTTTCTTCTAAGTAAATGGTATCATTTTGTATTGCTATCATGCCTTATGAAATGCAAATTCAAGTAAAACAAGTGCAGTGCATGCAGTAGACTCAGCTAACAGATAAAATAATAACTACGGCTAGCTTGAAAACAGCCATACTTCCAAAGGTAAAATGATGTTTGCAAGATGGTGAGTAACTCAGAGTAGTCAAAAAGAAAGTTGACCAGTTCCAGACAATACAAATTCAAATGAAGTGGCAGGAACAAAGAGCAGTTTCTTGATAGGAAATAATATTACGTAAATTATGGGTTGATGTACATTTCAAATTTGAGGTTTTACTATATTAATGCACGTGATTGATGTATTATACTTCCGCCAAATATACTTCCTTTGATGCATGAACATCACAGTCATAATTGTTTTTTGTCTGTAGGGTCTGCCATTGAGGCTAGTTTGAAGCAGTTGGCAGAGCGACGAACCGATATTTTTGGCGTGGGTGATGAGGAAACTGCCATTGGTAAGAAGATTGGAGAAGAAGACAAACGCAAAGATGACAAGGTAATATTAGTTGTGATTTTAAATATAATGCATCAGTTGGCAAGGGCAGTGTTTGCTGAAATGCTTGATAATTCTCAACATTTGATGTGGCTCATCCCTGAAATCCAAAATTGTTCATTGGACTCCAGCCACAAAAACCTAAGCACAAGCATTTAAATGTTACATTCTATGAATGGTGATACAATAGGGGGACCAAAACATAAATAAAAATTATTGAAGTAAAGGAGTGAAACTTATTTGAGAGAGATGTCCAAGGCATGATTTAAAGCAGGGAGATAACACATTTAATGTGTGGGTCGGCTGGCTCGGTCAGTAGTGACTGACTTCTGGCTTTATGATCGGGATTCGATCCGTAACAGAGGCGGAAGGATTTTCTTCTAGCCTCTGCGTCCAGACCTGTTTTGTGGCCCGCCGAGCTTCTTGTCCAATGGATGCTGGAGGTTATTTTCCCGGGGGATAAAAGCGCACTCCCCTCGATGCCTACATGGCATGTGATGAGAAGGCTTTACTTTTTTATGAAATTTTAATGATAGAATAAAGAAAGAATACACTGTCTTATTTTAGGGCCAGTTTGATATTTAAAAACTGCAGAACTATATTTGGAAGATTGGGAAATGTACCCCCAAGCTCTTTCTGGCAAGTTAAGTAAGAACAAGATACCAGGTTATGTTCAACAATGAACACTCTTTGCACTTGTTGAAAAAAGCCATCTTTGCCCTTTGACTGTTGAAAGACAACTGGTGGATTAGTGCAGGCAGGTTATAATGGGCTCTTATATAGTTACAGTGATATTGCATGTTTATTAATCCGATCATATTGTGTTGATTTGCAGCCATGAGTAAATATTTGAATATAGGGTGCTTGACTTTTTGATCATTCTTTATATGCAGTGAATATGGCTGCATGGTTTAGGTCAGCACTATTTGTTTCTTTGCGTGAGAGTCACTGTAGAAAATAAAATTTATTTTGGGGGTTAATATAGATTCATTAATGTAAGTTTAACTCTTTGTTAAGGAAAGTCATAATGCTAGAGTTTAGTGTTGTTGATGGCTTTGCAGGTGACATGGGATGGGCACACATCCAGTGTGGAGGCTGCTACCCGAGCAGCTCGAGCTAATATCACTCTAGAGGAGCAGATTCACCAGATCCATAAGGTGAAAGGACTCCTACCTGATGAAGAGAAGGAAAAGATCGGACCGAAGCCTGTCGGATCTCGAGCGGCCGCGGGCCTGCAGTCTCTCCCCCCACCCCCTGGTACCAAACCCCCAGTTCCTCTTCCCATGACAGCAGTAAACAAGCCACCCAGTGTTCCTGTGTCAAAACCACAAGTCCCATCTGCTGCTCAGCCCATAGCTCCACCAGTACCAGTAACAGCACCCCCACAACAACCAGCCCCTCCACCACCTCCCCCTGCTGCTATGGCCTTGCCACCCATGGCTGCTCTGCCCCCTCCACCAGGACTTCTGCCTCCCCAGCCAGGCATGATGATGATGTCCATGAGGCAGCCACCACTGATGGGTAAGATAACCAGCTCTAAGAAGGACTAACCACACAATTGCTAAATTTCCAAATTCAGACAAACCAGCTTCTGGATCTAAGAATAGAGTGTGAAGATATTCTGAGAATGAATGAAGCATTTGTAGTTGACAGAAACATTTTAAAGAAGTGTAAGCAAGTGTCAAGTTCATGGCGGCAGTTTGTTTGGCTGCATTAATTTAAAAATGTGCTGTCTTTCCCCAGGTACATTTTCCCAGAAATGTATGTAATTGCGCTATTGGGAGTTTATCATTATCATATGCACATTAGCACACCATATTATATTCTCATATAGAGGTTTTGTTACATGAGATGGTTACATGTTCCAGGAATAGCGAACAGAATGCATACTCATGATATGTAGGATAGGTTAAACTTGCATTATGTTATGTTAATAATGAGTTTGATCAGCAGTTTGTGTAAGCTGTCTGCATCGATATTGTTAATATATTGAGCCTTCTTTTTTTCTTGCTTTGTACTGATTTCGTAAATGCATTCAGTTCCAGCACGTCCACCATTTCCAGTGGCAGCTCCAGCACCCCCGATACCAGGCTTTATGGCTCCTCCAGCACCCCAGATGCAGCCTCCACCACAACCACCACCTCCAGTAAGCACACCATTCAACAGACAGTTTTTATGCCCAAGTCATATTGCTGTACAAAATTTTCTAAAAACAATTCTCATATTTAAAAATGGTTATAAAACAAACCATTTAACTAAGTAATAGATTATTTTGTATGGTTCTGAAACCTGGTCTCTTACTGCGAGGGTCACAGGTGTTTGGGGAGATATCACCTAGTGCTGTTAGGGTGGTGAATGGCAGTTATGATAGGTTGTATATGCAGCTTGATAGGGAGACAAGAGTAAAAGCAGACTTTTGATGGGGAAACCTTAGATAGCAGCTGTTCAGAACATCAACATGAAACTGGAAGATAACGTGAAGATGGTTCTTAAGAAAACATTGTGGGGCTGGGCAGTGGCCCTCGATCATGTATGAGATAGGCATTTAATGTTTTCAATGTTGAACTTTGGTTATACCACAGAAATGTACAGGAGTTTGTCAGAATCGCATCAGGGATTTCAATGAAAATTGGATCAGTGGCAAGCAGATGGAAAATAGATGCCTGTCTTGCCTTTTCATCCAGTGGCCCTTAGTTTCTGAAATATAGTCTTTAAAACTTTTTCGTATCTTGTGTATATGGGTAATTTGCCCATTTTACTTGTGAGGATAAGGTTATGGACTTTAAAGGTTCTAGGTTGAGTCCTGTATGCTTCTGATCTGTTTGTTACATCAGAAAAATGTTCACACAGTATAAATGAGATACCAAATTATGTAATACAATTTTATACAATATGTGATTTACAAGTAAGGTATATTAATTTATTTAAATAATAATTTCCTAATGATATTAATGAAAAATCATGTACCAAAATATTGCAACTTAAGTTTTATAAAGTGATGGTGATTCCCACACTGCTCTATGAATCAGAAACATGGACATTAGGAAAAAGAGACACGAGCAGAATTCAATACTTAAGATCAAATAATGGATGTACTAGATTAGATAGAATAAGAAATGAAGACATTTGGAAAGAACTTAATATTTTTAATGTAATCGACAAAATTGGAGAATGTAGAAGAAAGTGGAAAGAACATGTGGAACGAATGTCTGAAGACCGACTTCCTAAGGCTGTTCTCAGCTACAAGCCTAGCAGGAAAAGAGATCGAGGTTGACTACAAAGAAGATGGAAAGATCAATTTGAAGCCAGAACAGGCATTAGTTCCTAATCCATGATGTTGATTGAAAGGATGTTGATACTCATTGGAACAGTATCACATGTTTAGTTGACTTGATGAACAGAGGGGACCAGTTTCTGCTGAGTTAGCTGAAAGTGGCAACGTGGAATGTTTTGATTAAGCAGAATGGCAGATGGTAGGTGAAATGGTCAGCATTTTACAACCTATCTACCAAGCATACACAGAATTAAGTGGAGAATTACCTAAAAACTACAGGAAAAGGGAGTGGCTGTGCATTTGCAAAACAGTTGCTATAAGCTTTCAAAGCTCATTTTCCCAATTACAGGAAAATGAAACCAAACGCTCCAGCCATGTTTATGGATCATAGATTTGAAGCTTACTGTTGTCGGAAGATTAGGACAAGTTGGCAATAAATTTTATCGAGAAAGAAATCAGTGAACATATTCCAGATCTGCAGTCACAGGAAGAAGAAGTATGAGAAATCTCTGGACCATCCTGCTCACTGTGGAGTTCTTTTAACAAACCTACTGAAAATAAACAACATGGAAGGATCAGATCAACAGATACTTAATGGAGCCTGTTCTTCCTAGGCATGAGGAGCCTTGTAGACAATGCCTGGCATTACCACTATCTTCAACCTCTGGCTCAACATTATTTACCCATACCAGCCACACAAGTAGCTAGTGAGAGACTTCTCTCTTCCTCAGGAACCACTGTGACTGACTTTACTGTATGTAGAGCAAATCTGAACCCCAAACATGCGAAACAACTGGTGTTTCTTCACCACGTCAGGAAGTATACTACAATTTTTTAAACAAGACACTTATATAGCTAGTTTCTTTAAATGAAACACTTACCACTAATTTGAATTCTTAATCGTTCCTAAAGAGTGATGCCAATCATTTAATTGTGTGCGTGAATGTGGTTTTGAAAGTAAAAGTGATGTACTGTTACAGAAGAAGGTAAGTTTATTGTTTTTGTCGGTCGGTTCTAATGGCATATGTGGCCTAGTTGGTAGCAGAAATGTCTTATTTTTGAGAACCTGCTATGGTGTGAAGTGTATTGTTTGGTGTCTAAAAAAATTGGCATATTAAACGGTGATTTCTTACTTAAACATGAACTCGACTTGAAACTTGAAAATTTTAATACTTTTCTGTTTGAACTCGACCTAAAGAAAACGCTATTTGCTCATTACTTCTTTAGGGTGATGCATGTGCAACGTGAACTTCAGGGCTTTTATGATTAGTGGGAATCCCAGTACATGACCGCGATACTTCGTGGTGCATGATTACACTGTGCAGTAAAATGTTACGTGCTTCCAGTGTCTTAATAAACTGACAAACGCTTTGCCTTTGAACACATTTGGTCACTGAATACATTCCAGCAACACTGATATTTAATATTGTTTTTCTGAATTGTTTTATGATTCATCCAAGAAACTGATACACACCAGAATGCAAATACAAATCTGTAGATTTATTTATAAACATATTACACATGGAACAGATTTAAATACAAAACTCATAAGTATGCAGGATAAAACTCAGGATGCCCAAATTACAAATCCATAACCTTGTCCACTTGGGCAAATTAGCTAACTTGTGCTATACGTATATCAGAGGGAAGAATTTTAAAGCCTGTGTTTCAGAAACTAAGGCCCAGTGGGCAAAAGGATGAGACTGATGTCTGAAGATGGCTGCCTTCTGGGTTGTTGTGCCGTGTAGTCACCCTGATGATGGAGGCGGCAAAGACCTCTGAAACGTCAATAAACTCCGACCAGACTGCATGGTGCAACAACCCAGAAGACAGCCATTTTCAGACTCACTGCCATGAAAACCTCAAATCCTATTTAGACGGGTGTCTCTTTACTTTCTGTCTGCTTGTTTGAAACGGGTCATAAATGGAATTTCCAAAATTATTATATGGTGCAGGTTTCCTTCCTTGAATTCCAGTACATCTTGGATAACTTTCAAATAAATTTCAGAGTTCCAAAGACCACTTTTGGCAAAGACAGAAGATGCCACAAATCTAATCCTTGAATGATTTTGAGACAAATACTGTGACAGGTAATATAATCTCATATGATAAATATCCTCTACAGTCTGTACAGTGCCCCTAAATCACCCACGGTCCAATTATCTACTTGTCAGACATTTCCTTGTGCATACCATTTCAGATTCTTTGGTGGTGATTATAGCAATTTCCCTTACAGAGCAAACTTCAGTATAAGAAGGGCATTAACACAAATAAAATCCTGCATGGAGGCAAGGTTAAATTCTTTACATTAATGTATATTGTTACTTGTCTCTTAGGATGAAGGAGCAGAGATTGGGGTAAGTGCTGGGGAATAGAGAAAATTTAATGAGGAACTTCCATGATTTCCTTGTCTAAAATTGTTAAAGTAATTAAATTACTGATGTGGAGATGAGCTGGACATGTAGCATTAACATGAAAAGCAAGAAAAGAGATAAAATGGCAATATTAAGTAGGGTAATTTGAATTGTTATGAAATGTGCTTTCCAGGGTCCAATGAAACATCCTGCAGATATGAGTTCCTCAACAGATGAGGAGCCACCAAGCAAGAAGATGCGTTCTGAGGAATCACTAATGCCTGAAGCCCAGTTCTTGGCTAAATACAAGGTATGTGCTAATTACCACAGGACTCGGATCATTAATGATGTAGAACTGTCTGTGGTATTAAAGTTTATATGCATATAAATTTGGTCATTGTTGTGTGAGCAGTTTCATGTTCATGAAAATTGAAGTACAGGTAGCCCTCGATTTACGCTGGGGATGCGTCCCTGGACGAACCGGCGTAAATTGAAGCTCTTTTTATAATGTAAATCAGTGGGAAGTCAATGACATGCGTTCCCAGCACCCAAACATTGACAGGTAATATAATGGCATCACATTTAAAGCTCTGAAATAACGTTTATAATGTAAATCTCGTCGTGCTGACCACACGTCACCCTATATCTGGTTGGATGATCGTTTACCTCTGCTTAGGCATGTGAACGCTAGCTAGTCGGCCTTGGCTCTCAGAGGGCTGTTACGCCATTGATGAAAAAACAATCGGCAATTCATTGGTCCCCACGATTGACTGCGATTCTTTCATGTGATTGATGTGTACAGTCGTCCCTGCTGTTACGCGATAGTTGCATTCATGTAAGACGCTGACCTATAGAAATTCGCATAGTAAAAATAATCCCGGTACCTCCGCAGAGATTGGATTAGTCCTTTGAAAATTTAAAGTACCAGGAATGAAATTGCATAAGAGCAAACTCGCATGTGCAAAAGTTTGCATTTCACAAACAGCTTTTACCGATTCATCGATCTCATTGGACCAAATTCACATTAACGAAACATACATAATTGCAGAGATGACTGTATTTATAATTTTTATTTAAAATCAGCGATGTAAGAATTACGATTTAATATAAGAATCGGTACTAGATGCATTGTAAAACGTTATACATAATAGTAAAATATATTTTTTTCACTTTTTGACTTGCTGGTTTCAAAATTGGCGTTATTCTGAATCGGCGCAAATTGAACCGGCGCAAATCGAGGGTTACCTGTACTTTATATTTTGGAGATACGCTACTGGATCTTGGTGTAAATTAGTAGCACATTCATGTATCCTCATGTGTTGTTTCAGTTTTGGTTCTTGGAAATACAGATGTGGCCATTAGTCATGTCATTTGTGTACTGTTAGAAAAAGTAAAGACACAACAATCAAGTTTTACAAAATCACATCTGTGTTTAATCTGACATGTGGGGGTGACAGTTGGGCCATAAAAATGAAGTGAAATAGGGAATGTAAAATTTTATTTATGAATAGTAAGATGTGCTTTTTGTGTTCAAATCGGCAATTAATCCTTTAGTGATGGGCATTTGAATTCCACATTTAGCATCACTACTGGATTATATCGGCATTTAATTGCTTTAAAGTGCAGACAGTAGTGAAAAAACTGTAGTTTTTAATAAAATGTTGACTTTTTAAGGATGAATCACTTTTCCTCATACCAGAGCTGGGAAATCAGGCTGCCAGAATATTTACATTCGTTTTCCATTTTGATCCCACTTTTTTGTTTGTTGTTTGAAATATTAAAAGTAGATGAGTTAGAGTGGCATAAACTTGTTAACGCACTGTACCCCAGCCTCAGAATGGGGTGACCTATGGGGCAAATTCACTTATTTTACCGACAGCTGCAGAAACATTTTCACAATTGGTCATGGTCTCTTGATAATTGGTGGTATGTTTCTCACAGGTCTTTGACTGTTCAGTATTGTAAACATTCACCACTGGTTGTTGATTTTAGCACAAGTGTGTGAATGTCTGGTAATCCATAGAGCAAAAGTAGGCTAGCCCATGTGGTTAGTTTTGTTTGTGACACTTTGGTTCTGAGAACCTTATTTCAAGCACACAGGAAATTACCAGGCTAAAAGAAGTTTTGTCCAAATTGATGCTGTCTGAAAACAGACCCAAGTATGATGAAATAATTACATAGGCATGATAGTCAATGTACAGGATGCAGTTTTCATATCTCCATAGTTTCTTGGCCTACACTAAGCAGGCATTTGATGAGAATATAAACTGTGAAGGGAGTTATTTTCAAGTGCCAAAGTCTGAGACATAGTTCCCAGTTCCTTGTTCTTCCTTCTTATTACAAGAAGGATGGCTTTGAAGAGAAAACTGCAGGATGAAGGCAAAACGTAGGAACTGCTTTTAGCCTTTGACTCTGATGCTGACATATCTGAAGATATTTCTCCTCAAAGACAGTGACATTGAAGAGGACAGCAGGAAAGACAGGCCAGGGGAGACTGAACAGACATAGACAATCTTGACCCTCTACACGTGTGATACACAAGTTTACGAGGGGGCCCAACGGGTCGAGACAAAATGAGGCACCCCAACATGAACAATGACTCTTCACCACTGAGCGTTTTCATACTCTTTTCCTCCTTTTTCTTCTTGAAATTGTGCAGCTGCTGATACAAATGACAAACAGATATTACCATCAATACTTGGAAACTGTTGCTGAACTATGCTCTCGACTGTCTGATGTGACTGTACTGGAAATGTTCTTGTTCTTAGCTGTTATTGTGCAGATGTATCACAACCAAAGAGACAGATTGAAAGATTATTGGTTGGCACTAAAACAGTTCCTTTTATGGAAACAAAATTAAATGAGGTGACAGATTCATATATTGAGATTTCTGCATTGTGACAACAAAAATTAACCTGACAAGACAGATGAAAAGTATGACAGAATGGAAAATGAGAAATTTTTTTGATAAGCTGAATGATGGATATGCTGTTCAAAGGAAGAGTTAGGTTCAGACAGTATATACCAATAAATAGAAAATCTACAAGCTAAGTGATTTACATACAACATGTCTGTGTGTTTTGGCAAAGACATGAAAAGTGTGATTGCCAGAATTACAACAACACAGCAATTGTCATAGGACTTGGTACAAGTCTTGAAAATTTGGTATACAAACTCTACATGGACAACTTTTTCTCTTCTCCTGACTTATGTGATGATTTACATACAAAGGCCAAAGGTGATGTGGTACTGGCAGAGCAAATCGAAAAGGAGTACCTAGTGAGTTTGGAAGAAAACTTGGATGAAAATGGGGTAACATAAAGACTAGAGTGAGGGGTGACTTCACAGTTGTAGTATCGATATGTAAACATGTTGACAAATATGCATTGTCCTCCAGTGAGTCCAGGCATTGTACAAGACTGTGATAGATGCATGAGGTATATGAACAAGAGTGACCACATGATGAACAGTTACTCTATTTAAGATTTGAGGTTTTCACAGCTGTGAGTCTGAAGATTGCTGTCTTCTGAGTTGTTGCGCCATGTACTCTACCATACTACACTACGCAACAACCCAGAAGACAGCAATATTCAGTTACACTATTATCAGATGCACGTGGAAATGGACAAAATTTGATCTTTAACCTCCTGTACCTTTAAATTTCGGACAGTTATATTTTCCTCACTTCTTGTTCAAAATTAACTCATTCAGATTTGAGGCTTGCCTTGGTGAGGGATTTAATACTAGAGGGAGTGAGGGTGCCTTGACCACAGACCACCCTATGGGGCAGACCAACTATTAATACTTCTACCAGTCATCAGACAATACTCGACATTTGACAAACAGTGAACACTGGCCCACAGAAATAAAAAAATTCCAGAAAGATAACAGATTCACTGCTGCATGTGTTCCATGAAAAATAAAGAAACATGAACACAATCCAGCTGTTCAGAATGCAGTGTGGGGCTGTGTGTTGATCCCTGCTTCACAGTATACAAACACAATTTCATTTTTGAAGACTGTATGACACTATGCTGGCAATGGGGAAACACAAAATGTACGAGGTGCGATCGGAAAGTTTCAAGACTGTGTCAATAGAGGGCGAACCGGATGTAGTACGAGCTTCTGCCGCTAGGGGGTGCGGCCTACATTCATAGTGAATCAGTGTGCCACCTGGCATCATCGAATTAGCATTTGTTTCTTAGTTACGGGCGTTTTGGTAGTGCATTACACCAACCCTCCTGCAATTGCAGATTTTCATGAACAAAGAGTGTGCATCAAATTTTGCCAAAGACTCGCCAAAACGGCTATGGAAACCTATGAAATGCTAAAGCAAACATTTGGGGAGTCCGCAATGGGTCGTGCACAAACTTTTGTGTGGCATTCACGTTTTAAAAATGGCCGAACCTCTGTCGATGATGACGAGCGTTCTGGACGACCATCTTCGAGCACAACGCCCGAAAATGTTACGAAGATTCGGCAGGCCATTCACGAAGATCGACGTCGTACCATCAACGACTTGTGCGACATTGTTGGGATAGACTATGGGATCTGTCAGCTGATTCTAAAGGAAGAACTCCACATGCGAAACCAAGGCTCCTGTCTGAGGACCAGAAGCAGAATCGACTTCTCGTTTGTCAGGAGCTAAAAGATCTTGCAAGAACCGACCCCAACTTCCTTCCTAAGCTCCGTGTGACTTCTTCCTCGTCCCAAAGATGAAAATTCAGCTAAAGGGAAGGAGATTTGAGACGATAGAAGAGATTCAGGCAGAATCGCAGATGGTGCTTGACAGGCTGACAAAGAAAGATTTCCAGGGATGCTTCCAGGCTTGGCAGCGGCGCTGGGATCGTTGTGTTCACTCCCAGGGGAACTACTTCGAGGGTGATGGATGAATTTAATACCTGAGATAAGTGTACAGGTTTTTATAGGCGCAGTCTGTAAACTTTCCGATCACACCTCGTAAGCACTGTAATTTTGCCATCACTAGCAGTATGCTCACAATGTTAATGTGGGGAGATTTGAGAGATGCTTACATTTCATATCAAATGAGTAAGCACGCCACATGTGGTGGAAGTTGGTTTGCCCCATCCTTCAACTACAAGTGAACACGTACAATTTCAATTTTATATATGAGTTTACTAATAATTTTTGAAATATTGGAATAAGAGGGTGTGGATTTTATGAAAGGGGCAATGAGATAAGTCATGCTGATCTAAAGCATTTTTGATGTTTCTGTCTCACTTTGACATTTTGTGGTAGAACAAAGGAGGAATGGCTGCTTTGAGAGAACTGTAAATCTTTTGGCAGTTGTAAAATTCAGAGGGTTTTTGTAAGCAAACACACCCATTAAAGTAGATTATTCTGTTACAGGTGAATTTTTGACAATGTAAAAAGCCCATAAAAGCACATTAAACACAAAAGTTTCTTGTTTTTCAAGTGTATAAACCTTTTAATAGTGTTCTGATGTAATGGGACAACAGTCTCCCATATGGCCACTTGCACATACATGTTTCAGACATATATGTCCTTTTGACTTTTGAAGTTTATAGGTTCAGAGAAAGAAAACATAAGAAGTGTCATATCATGTTTTAGGATTGGTTCCAAACAGAACAGTAGAGCAGATTTTTATAATTCTAAAGGAGAACAGAGGAATTTAGTGGTCAGTAAGAGAGAAAGGGTTTGTGGCCCATCTTGGAAGTTCATAATGATGATTTATAGTTTTTGTGCCATACAACACATATCTGTGTGTACGTGTATGCATGCGTGTGTGAGAATGTACATGAGTGTGTAAAAGAGAGATATATTTTTGTTCAAAATGCGGTTTTGTTTTGGTTTATTTTATTTTAGTCACCTGTGTCCCTTAAAGTAGCTGTGCCTACTATGTCCGAGAAGCCAGAGTGGAGACTGAAAGGGCAATTGCTGGCTCTGACGCTGCCATTATCAGATACAGTGGCTGTTATCAAGGCAAAAATCCATGAGGAAACAGGCATGCCTCCAGGCAAACAGAAGTTGCAGTGGGAGGTACGTATGCGCATTGTTACCAGTGAGAACTCCGTATTTGTTTTCAGTTTATTTAATGCTTTTGGTCTCTAAATTTTTAAGTGGTGTTTTTTTACAGTAAATTCTTAATGTCTGCAATAATTGAGGGTTGAAGTAGCACAGATGATAACAAATAATGGAAAATCCAAGAATCTATGCTACATTCAGCCCTCAAATCCACTTCAGTATTACTTAGAAATAATGCTATAAACTTGTGTTCCTCTGACTGTTTTCCAGGAAGTTGACAGTTTCATCATTTTTTTGGTTTTATAAGCTGCTGGTAGAATCGGAACTGCCAACAAAATGTATTAATGTATTTTAAATTTCTGCTATACTATATGTCAATTCTGTATTTTTGGTGGAATTTCCTTCCTTAGACTTCTGTTATGTATAGTTTCAGTTTTATTGTTGAAACCACATTTCTCTGCCTGCCCCTTTTTTAACTGAATCTTGCAACATAAAATGGAAAGTAGTAAATAGTACCGTGGCGTGTTATGTGTAACTAATTTTCTTATTTTGGACTTCATCCAACACCTACTGAGAGTTTTTAAAATGCCTTAAAAGATGACATTTTGAAGAAAGGTGCATCCTTCAAAGTATGATTTTTTAAATTATTTAAAAAACTAACAACAGACAATGGATAAGGCCATAATAGAGAGATTAGTAAAAACAGTCATGTTCATAGAGAGTCTGCTGTACTTGATTTTTTCATGATTAGTTCAGTACATTGACTGCAGATTGCTGTTGTCTGGGAGGAGGAGGATAGATAATTTATGTAGTGCAAGACATTGATGACCTTATTAATTTTGGCTAGAGATGTAAAGTAAATATATTCTGTCAGCCTCTAACATGTTGAGTTAGTAATGGCCAGCTGCACTGATGTCTGAGCAGAGTGTAATATGTCATTTCTAGCTTGCAATTGTTATGATGACTGAATTCCATTATCCTAATTCCCGCTTTGTTTCCCACTTCTGTCCAGAGAAGAAAGTGTCTATAGTAATAATTAAGTTTCTATGTACAATTTTTTGTTGCAGGGTTTGTTTTTTAAAGATTCCAATTCCTTGGCATATTATAATATCATGCCTGGTACAGTCATCAATTTGCAACTGAAGGAAAGAGGTGGCAGGAAGAAATAAGCACCACAGACCATCAAAGTATATAATTTAATCGGCTACTATTCAGTATCTCTAATTTTAGACGCTCAAGCTTGCTAGGTTTCATTCATACAGAAATCATTGATTACCCCATTCACATATTTGATAAGGTAATCTAAAATTCAAGTAGCCTTAGAAACAACTAATTAATGTTTTCTGTAGTAAGTTCTATTGGTTCTAAACTATAGCATCAGTGTTTTGTTCAGGACAGCAGTGAGGTGCAACCATAGGAGAGAATTTATTACATGTTTGCATCTCTTTGTCCTCAGAAATTCTTGTGTCTTATTCTTGATGTTCTTACAGATCATATGATACTCTCACAAAGTCAGTTCAGAATGTTGTAATAATGAGTCTATTGTAGCAGTTGTGAGCACAGAAATTGGAAAGTAGTGATGGTTTTATGAAAAAGCACCATTGGGATAGGTGTGATGTGGTGGCATGCTAAATAGTTTTGAAATGCAATGTGCTGAATTCTTGCATCAATCGGGCGTTCTGCTCATCAGTAGTCAAGGCGTCAGCATTGTAGCTTCTTGGCGGATGCCAAGGTGACAGTGCTGGATGTCTTACTGTGAAATCTCAGCTGAAGAGACAGCACTTGAATAGAGCAGGCAAGGTGAAGGATGCCAGGTGGTGGTTTTGAGTAGTACTTCCAATTGGGGGCAGTGTTGTGTTATATCAAATTTGCATAATTGGTTGGTGATAATAAATCCATATCAGAATTTTCTGAACCAACTTTATATATGGAATGCAGCATTCTCTTCACAAATTAGACCAAATTTCTTAATTGTCTTAATATAAAAATATAAAGTGAGATAACTTTCCTTCTGAAGTAAACAGGGTTAAAGTCTTAACAGGATCATCGCTTGGTCTGAGCTGTGCAATTGCATGGAATCAAAATATTGCGTACACTAGCAGACGTTTCCTTTTTAGTACGCATATTTCCTAGCTCTCATCATAAATTATAAAAGAGGAAGCACGGCTATGTATGAATTAAATTTTTTTTATGTGCAATCTTATCTTCCCTATGAATGCTAAATCCCCCCCCCCCAGATCCATCTCATCCTTCTTTGTTTTATAATCTTTATAATCATTATTCTATTCAGTTATGAGTACAAATTCCGCCTTCATTAAAAATTGGCTAAGCAATATGAGTTTCATAATCCCACATCTTCAAAATACTGTGCCCAGAAGACAGAAATCTTCATATAACTATTCTTGTTTACCAAGATAGTTCCAGGTTGGTCCTTTTTGAATTAATTTATGCCTGTAATCTGTAATTTATAATCACCTACCTACACAGATTTAAGCATCCAAATAAAAATATGCACCATAACTTTTTGCCAGAATGTCTTCTTAGTGTAAATGAAATTGTAGCATCATTACTATGCTAATTAGCTTCACTGGGAAAATTGACAACTGTCCTGCTGCATTTTAACATTTGTCTGTACTCTGAATAGAAATACAAATGTATTTTGTATTAACATCCACAGATGTCATTTTAAATCTCTGGATTTGAAGCATAACTAAGCCCTCTTACCTCTGTGACTTTGCAAAAGTGTGGTTCTCCTGCCACTTACAGGCTCGAGCTACTTGCTCCATGTATTATATTTCAAACCCTGATAAGATGTGAATTTCTGTGCAGCAAATGAGATTCTCTTTTAACTGCAAACCATAATATGAGTGTATTTGTAAAGTGCATATTAATTGCATAATTAATGATTATGGTCTCACATCCTATCAATGATTTCATGTGGTGTTTAACACTTGCTGCTTCCCAATTTAATAAACGTTTTAAATCTAAAAAAAAATGAGCTGCACTTTAAGACAATAAATTCTTAAAATGTTGCAAAATCAGTTGTAATATTTACCTCTTTCACTGTATTAAATACTGGCAAATTAAGTTGAGTTTCTCCACCTTTACCTAGTGACACACCTCTGACAACTTCTGTTCCATATTCAATAGCTTGCTTACTATGAAAAGTTACTTGTTTACCTGTGAAATCAATAACATATAACTTTGGTAGCTGAGTTAAGTTTCAGATTTGCACGAGCAGCTGTGTAATTTGTTCGAACATTATTAAATTTTGGTCCTGAAAAATATAATTAAACACACCAATTTATTAAAATATAACAGATGTGAATTTTACTCATTAAAGAAGTCTAAATGGCGATACTTGAAGTCTGTCCCTTACATCAAAGGTCATTTCTGTGTTGACTAGCTATTTAAATGAAAAATATAAATATGCATACAATTACTGTCCTGTACTCGTGTATTATGTAAATCAAATACATGCATACATACATCTTTATTACATTCCATGGATCCATAAGTTAGTCAGATGAAAATAGGATGTAGAATAACTCATAATAATACAATACGTTATACAAATACAAGTCATACTATTATATAAATGTCACAAAAATACAAACAAAGGGTTCACATGAAGTAGAGATAAGTTACAAATGAATCCACCCAATATATACAATACATAAATGACGACTTACTTGTAAACATTAGAAATTCATAGACAGAGTAAAATGAGCGTGTAATTAAGTATCTTTTCAATGCTGGTTTAAATTGTGCCTTTTTATTTACAAGTGTTATGGCTGTAGGATGGGAATAAGGAAAGATACCTATCCCCACCTAACCCATAGGTAACTTCTTACAATCAATCACAACACTGGTTAAAGTAAATATATTTCAAATAATTAGTTTGACAAAAGAAATTAAATACAAAGTAATTGAATATGAAATGTGTTTGTAAGTACCAATCTTTCAACTATTCAACATTTAACCAGTCACCTCCTGTAGTACGTATATTCAGCACTAATAATGCGTGGCTTGTAAGATTGTCTAGTTCTCTACTTACATGAGTATGCCAATAGAAACACCCATATCTGTTCGATTCTGTGAAGTCCCATGTTAGTCGAATGCTCGGACTAACCTGACGACCTCCCCCCTGAACAAGGTTCCTTTAAATCACATTCTGTGCACACTGAAGTGTCTAACTTCTGAAACGTCTCCGTTTAAATACGTGTTTCATTCAGCATCACATGTCAAGTAATATTTGTTACGTGATTCTCTATTGGCTGATCACGCCCTAATTTCAAAATGAACTCTATAAAAGAAGGTGACTGATTGGTGTCATCTTTACCACAACATTTCCGTTATATTCCCCAAAATGACAACACATGTCTCCAAGACACGTACGCCGTGGGTTTCCCAACTAACTGCAACTCTGGTGGGCTTGTCTTACAGGATGCAACTTTGGTTGAAGCTGACCGCAATATTACCGGTTCTTGCTTCAGGAGATGACAACTCATACAATATGTATCAACAAGAAAATTAAATACAATAAAGAAATATCAAATAATCAATACTTAATATATAAATCAAAAGAAATGTAAGCAGGTGAATTTGTATGTGTATACAAATATAAGTGTACAAGTGTGCTCATAACATCTACCCTCACCTTTACGATATACGCTCATTTTTAGCACATTTTAATTGGGTACATGTACAAACAAAAGGAAATAAGATTACACGTGATTTCCTGTGGAAGTCATGACCTTAACTACAGTTCAGCTATATGAATGCATTTTATATAATGAGTGATCATTAAGTGTTTCGATGGCTGAAGGTGGTGACAGTACTTGAGCTGGTCCCTCAGGGTCTTCCCTGACCTAATCCATACAGGTTCAAAGTTTTCATGTAATACAATGTCTGTCTTTCCATAGAACAGAGCCACCAGACAATCTTGGTGTCCAGATTTTCTTAAAACAAAATCTGAAGGGCATACTGTGTAATAATTTTTTGTACACTGAGACAACATTTGCACCGCAAGGGTTGTAAAGAACTGTCGATCTTCAGCCACTGCCAAATAAGTGAATGGTTCATCAGTCATCATGAATTTATTAATCCCCTTATGGAAAAAAGGTAAGGGATGGGCAGCTTTCAACAGTATGTCAATAAATAAACGAATGATTCTTGTTGTGGCGGTAGCATGTACACTAGCTACTGCGTAATAAACGTACATTTCTTCAACCGTTAATCCAGTTAACATCGATGTGCCTGCCGGTAAATGTAAACCAACTTGCTTCAATATGTTCGACAAATTATGTGGGTTAATCAAAGTGCTGCTTAATTTGCCTATACTGGTTAAATCTAGTGATTCCTGCAGTTGTATCAAACTAAATTTCATTTCTTGCATTGCAAGTTCTATTTCACGTATTGCAGTACTATACCTAACTTGTTTCTCCATGGCCACATGTAGGTCATGCAAATCTGCATCGTTTCGGCCTAATCTAAGTGAAAATTTTGAATTGAGTCTCTCAAAGCTTTTGCTAAATCAACGGTGTCTCGTGCATTTTATCTTGAAGCTTCATCTAACGTATGTAGAAAAGTCAACTGCTGTTCAGTTGCATTCACTACTTCTAGTATTTAATCTTTGGACATCCTTCGCGTCTGCTGTGCCAAACAAATATTTCAAACCATGTCCTATCAAATTAATTAATCCACGTTTATTCCTCTTAGTTCCGGGTACAGAACCTTTGCCGGAATCGTCTTGCGATAATAGTTTAGCAAAGCTATCTAAGTCAGTTTCCAATTCGTTAGTTATCTGGTCCAATCTTCCTACTTCCTCCCAATAAATATCCAAGGAAGTTTCAAACTGATTCCGATGAACTTGTATGTTCTTCCAAATTTGAACTAAGGCAAATCTCTACCTCTAATCAAGTTTAGATAATCATCTAAGGCTAATTCACTGCAATGGTCCATTTATCTCCGGTGAGTAGTATATCCCTATCTTTCATAAATACGAGTCCTTTGTCGTACTGTTTTGATTCTGGTTCGGGAGCTATGACTTCCCCCCTCCAACAGATGATACCTGTAACAAAAGGTTACTTTTACTCACACGGCTAGTTCCCAATACTTTTCATATTTGCCTATATTGGTTATTTCAAGTAAACTGAGTTCTATTCCTCAAGTTATACGAATGTGAAACGGATTGTGTAGTTGGACTTTGTACTAATTCGGTTTCTGTTATCGGCCGCGTTTCTATTATTTCCTCAGGTACTTCCGGTTGATTAATAGGCCTACTGCCTCCTAATTTTTCGCTTAAAATATCGTGTATCTGGAACCCAATCTATTTCTTTGTCTTCTTGCTCCGAGTTAGGTGACTCAACCCAACTATAGTCTTCTGAATCTCGAACCCCTGGACTTCTAGGTTCACTATCTCCTTGTTGAACATGTACTGAATTGGGAGTAGTTACTTTCCTGCCACTAACTACTTCCTCTTGGGTTACATTAAATCTAGACGTTCCTTCTAGCTTAGTGTGATCTCCTTCCCGACTAGTTTTATTATTTCCCCGCGCTCCTTTCAAGCGATTTATATGAACAAGTATTGACTTTTCTCCGTCTACACGAATCTTATATACCAAAGGCGATATCTTATATCAAAATTTCTGAGCTTTCCCTCTTTTAAAAATAGGATTATACAAATATACTAAATCTCCTTTATTGAAACATTCCTCTCTTATTTTCGTATCGTAGTATTTCTTCGCAAGTTCATGACTCATTTTAGATTGTTTCCCGGCTACTTGGTAAGCCTCTTGCAATCGCTCAGCTAGCATATGTATATGCTCCTCGTAATCTACCTTGTGTCCTTCCAACTGAGTCTTCGGAAGACGCATATCCCTTCCATATACTAAATAGTATGGAGAATAATTTTTTGACGTATGAGGAGTGGCTCGATACGCCATTACCGCGTAAGGCGCATACTTATCCCAATTCTTTGCGTCTTTACGCACAAAATGTGACAACATGTCAACAAGCAACTTATGCATGCGTTCACAAATTCAGTTAGCCTGGGTGTTATAACTGCTTGTTTGTAATTTTTAACAACCTGCAAGTTTCGAGCATCAGAGCGGATGTAAAGGAAGTTCCTCTATCCGTCAATAATTTCTTAGGTACCCCAAATTGAACTTTGATCTTGGTTACAAACTCTCTAGCAATAGTTTCTGTATCCTGACTAGGAATCGGTATTGCTTCGCAAAATCTCATAAAATGATCCACAAAAGTTAACAAATATTTATTCCCTTGTTCCGTGAGTGGTAATGGTCCCACTACATCCAACGAAACAGCATCTAAAAATTCGCTTGCTTCTAGCGACTCTCCTAAGGGCGCAAGCATCCTCTGTCCAGTTTTTCGTTTTGCACATGCATCACATCCGTTTATATACTCTTTAATGGTTTCCCACCAATATTTACGCGTAATAAAACTAAGGGTTCTGGCTACTCCTTGATGAGCGGTGAACATTTTAGAACATTTTGAACTAATGCCTGGGGATTTACTATCCTTGGATCTCCTCTCATTCCCACGTAATATAGAATGTTCTCATCATCCTTATAAAACTCTTGGCACCAGGTATCTTTTTCTTGTGCATCTCGAATGACATCTCTTGCCAGTGTTAAATCCCCTTCTACTATATTAACATGCCTTGATAGGGAATCTGCGTGGTGCATTTTTGAATTTGGTCTGTGTTCAACTATAAAATCATATTCAGACAATTTAATCGACCAACGTGTCAATCTTGAACTTGGATCTTGCAAATTTAACAACCACTTAAGTGCACGATGGTCCGTATATACGGTAAATCTACGACCATATAAATAGCACCGAAACTGTTTTACTGCAAAAATAAGGGCTGACAATTCGAAATCAGTAATACTATACTTCGACTCTGCTTAATTTAATTGTCTACTACAATAAGTAATGGGTCTTTATTTTCCATTGTCGTACTTGTGACAATACGGCTTCAGTAGCCTTAGTTGACGCATCACAAGCTACAATAAAGTATTGTGAAAAATCTGGATAGATTAACAATGGCTCAGTATTAAGTATTTGTTTAAGTTTATCAAAAGCCTGCTGCTGTTCCAATTTCCATTCAAAGGGTACTTCTTTCTTAGTTAGATTTGTCAAGGGTTTAGCTATTTCAGCAAAATTTTGTACATGACGTCTATAATAATTAGACAATCCAATAAAAGCTCGTATATCTCGAACTGTTTCTGGTACAGGATATTCTTCAATAGCCTTTATCTTACGAGGATCAGGTTTAACTCCTTCTGTGGTTACTATATGTCCCAAATATTCTACAGTGTCAATTCCAAAATCACATTTTTCAGGTTGAATCTTGAAATTAGCATGTTCTAACCTCTGAAATTTTTTTTCTAATTTCTGAGTATGTTCTTCCATGGTTTCTGAAAAACATATCAAGTCATCTAAATATACTAAACAATCTATCCCTGTTATTCCCATCAATATGGAGTCCATACAACGTTGGTATGTTGCGGGGGCGTTATTAAGACCAAAAGGAATTTTTACAAATTGATAATGCCCTCGATGACATGAAAAAGCAGTTTTCTTTCTATCCTCCTCTTTAACTTCTATGTGATGATATCCTGAGGCCATATCCAGTACTGAAAATATTTTACTATGTCCTAATGAATCCAAAGTGTCTACAATATTCGGTATGGGGTACGCATCTGGTTTGGTTACTGCATTTAAAGCCCTATAATCTATACAAAATCTATATTTAACACTACCATCCTTCGTCTTTTTCTGTACTAGCACAATACTACTCCAAGGTGACTTACCAGGTTCTATAATTCCCTTGGTTAACATATCATCTATGTGATCCTCCACTACTGGCTTCAAAGCATGTGGAATTCTATACGGACTTTTCCTAACTGGTATCACGTCTCCTGTTTCTATCGTGTGTTTTACTTAATGTGTGCATCCTATTGCTGCACTACCTTCCTGGTACAACAAATGTCTGTATTTCCGCAAAACAGTCTTCAAAATACTTTGGTCCTGCTTTACACATGCCCTAGCTTAATTTGCAAGTATTTCTCAAAATTTTCCTCCGAGTTCCCCTTATCTACAGTCCTCCTATCAGCACGAACTGTACAAACTTCGGCATCCCCTATTTCACTACGCCCTGTAGGTGAGGCGGTTCCTACCTACAAATTCTTAGGTATCTCTACTTCTTCTAATGACAAATTGTCACATATCCCACAATTTGACCCTTTATTTCGTTTTCATTTTGTATTATTTATTTCCTTGGTGTTACTTCGCCCTTTATTTCCCTCGCCACATACTTTCATAGCGCGAGTTATATTTACCAATTTTTGGTCTAGTGCTTCTATATTTCCATATCGATCCTCAATGGGAAGAGAATCATTCTTAATCTGTAAAGTTTCATCATCTCGTCTCACAGCGCCTCGCGGTAGCAATTCGCCTGCTGGCCATTCTGATAGGTTTTCGCCCGCACCGGTTGTTCTACATTTTACAGAGTCAACGTTATTTTTACCACAATTTCTTCGATTCTCAGAGGGAGTACTTGATTGTTCAGCTTGTTTGCTGCCAATGGAGGCTCTCGACCAACGGTGGGTGAGACCGGGAGTATCAGTTATGAGCTCAGTATTATTAGAATAACTCACAGTAGCTACTATCCGCGCAAAATATATTCCCGGTAGACTTTCTGGACCTGGGTCTACCATTACTATTTCACTTCGAGGGGTCATTACTTCCATCGCGCCGCCACGTCTAACGACTCGACACCGGGCTATTCTCCCCGAAAGAGGGGGTACTGCAACAGCCTCTGCGAGCTCTACAGTTCCTACCCACTCCCCTACTGAGTCATTGCTCGCCTTACCAAACCCTCAGCCAGGACTCCTTCCTGCTCATCGTTGATCAGACTTTGGGATACTGGAGCCCCTTCTCCTGAATTTGACAGGCGAAACAAACGATCCCCTATAGTCAGTGAATGGGAGGCCAGGCTTATCTCAGCCCCCACTTTTTGCAAGAAATCCATACCAAGAATGCCAGCACTACAGATCTCCAAAGGGCTTACAATAAATGGATGTACGAAAGTCATTGAATTCCCTTCCGTACCAATTCTAAACTTAACATCTTGTACACCTAATATATCCAATTGTGTGCCTGAAACACCCCTAGCCTGCACTTCACATGCTCTGAGTTGCGCTTTATTTATCTCGGGCTTAATCAACGAAACCATGGCACCGGTATCTACCATGAACACAAACTCTCCCTCTATTTCTGCTGTCAGCAAAGGTCCTGCCATTAACCTTATCGTTGCTGACGGCGCAACTAGGCTGTCTCTTGGCGGCTTTACTTCGGGCAGGATGACGGGGTCTAGTTCATCATCCCTATCCCGTTTGGGTTCGCACTGGGACACCCCTTCTCGCCCCTGCGACAATATCGTCTAATATGTCCAGTCAGCCCGCAATT